ACCACATTTGCTTATACACCCATTTGTCTTCAGCCCTTCAACACCTTGTGATCACACAGGCTGGTGTGTTTCTTCCATGTGGGCTTTGTTGCTTCTCAGCTAGATGGCTGCTTGTTTACCTGATACATTTTCTTAATGAGCAATAATACTGCAAGGCTTTAAAGAAAGCTTCTGACTAAAAGAGGAATCAATGGGTACAGAAATGGGCCCATGTTTTAAAACTTCAAGAACACGGAAATATCTTATGTCTATATCTGGGGTGTTTCTTCCTTAGATATGAAATTTTGATCACTTCCTATATTCTTTTACAGAAAAGAAGTTAGGTCAAAAAGTAAAATGCCAGTTCTCGTCTACTGAACCTTGGACTGAATAATTTCATCAGATAGAGAATTGAGCAGCCTAATCCTTTAGACTTCAAGCCGTGCTTGAAATTAAGATTGCTAGATTGCAACATGTTGAATATGATTTTTCTTAAGAACTCACAGTACATACATATACATAACTGAAGTTGCTAGATTAAAGTAAAAGCCAACAAAGTCAATTAATTTTTCAGAGCTCTGTGACCCACCTGTTATTTCTAAGTGCATATAACTGTCCATTGGGAGTGGTAAAGACAGAAAATTGAAAGGGTCAAATCGTACACTTATATGCCCACATGTCTTGCATTTGACTTGGGATCTCAGCTGCCCATGGAACAAATCCACAACAATCGATCTATTCCTTCTCAGATGGTTGTCCCAGGCCTACCACGAAAGAAGATTAGAGAATGTTTTTCCCCACCTCAAAATATAAATCATAAGCATTTCTACACAAATTCAATGAACCTGGTTAAGTATATTGGATTTATTTATTAGCAGTTTTATTGATAAGATAGTTCACATACAATTCAATGGCTTAAGCATATTAATGTATTGGATTTAAATGTTAAGAATATAATCCTTTCTTTTTTCTAAAATATAAACTTTCAAGTTTTATTTTCACTTCATTCACGTCATACAATGCAATAATTCAATCAAGAAGAGTTGTAAAATTATCACCACATTCAAGTCTAGAACATTTTCTTCCTCCTTGTACTCATTATTATTCATGCAATTATTTTTTCTAATTGTGGCAAAAATATATATAACAAAACATTCTCCAATTTCTTAACCTCTACATGTATAATTCAGTGTCACTAAAATATAATTTTTTTGCCTACAAATTTATAATTCAGATGTGTCATTTATTTATTAATCATTTTATTGGGGGCTCTTACACCTCTTGTTAACAAACCATACAGCAATTGTATCTGACATATTTGTACATATATTCCATTGTTCTTTTCTAGACATTTACTTTCCATTGAGCCCTTGGATTCAGCTCCTCGTTTTTTTCCTCCCGCCCTCCCCTACCCTCATGGCCCTGATTGTAGATTGTTATCAGATGTGTCATTTAAAGTGTATTGTCTACTGAGATATTACAGAAAACTACTTCTAAAGTAGAATGTGAGTCTTTCTGGCCAGTTGCTGCTAGCTGCCATTGAGGAGCCCCCTCCGGACTCACAGTGACCCCTAAGGTCCAATGGAACAAAATGCTGCAGTTTTTGTGGCAGTCCTAGGATTAGTTCTGTTCCATATGAGGGTATTTCAAAAAGGTCATGGGAAAATGACATTATCTTTTAATTTCATTGTTTCTTTTTAAAATTTTAATTTCATTGTTTCTATGAACGTTTTAAAGCTTCCTCATATAGCAGCTATTAACATTTGAACATAAAACCCTATTTCTTCTTCTTTTTTTTTTACCCTGATGGTAAAAATGATGAACAGAAAAGGTCTTTGTCTATAAAAAGCATACCGGCATTATTTTAACAATGATGGGCACTCTGGAAGTTACAGTGGATCCCTGCATGCCCTCCAATGAAGTTTATCATTTCACAATTTTCATTAAAGGTGTTTTTGTTTTGGCATTACTGAACAAGAATGAAGTAGGAGGATATAAATCACTTCACATTCACAAATCACAGGAACATTGTTATATTCACTGTGGCTAGAAAAATCAATCTACTGCTTACAGTGGAAACTCAAAAATGACAAACCTCTGCAGCTACTTCCCAGTCTGGTCGGCCATCACTGTCCTTCAGCTCCACATACGGCTTCTCATGGACTCGGTTAAGATCTTCATGAAGACCATCCAAGAGAAAAGCCAGAAGTTCTTGGGAGTCTTGCTGCTGGAACCCATTAAATCTGGGAGCATACTTTGCTATGGTCCACTAGCAATATGAGGAATCAAAATCATTATTCTTTAGCCAGAAAATTTGGAATGAACATGTCCCATAATTCAAGAAGACACATTTAAAGAAAGTAAACACTGTATTAGAATAACCAACCATTTAAGGTCAAAAGGGGAAGCATTTACCCAATGAGAAAGGTCAGAGGGTTAAGAAAGGAGTGGTAATGGAAACAGGAACACAAGCAGAAGTGAGATAAATGTTGGTTCACTGAGGGGATTGCAATGCATGTCTTGAAACAAAATGTGTATGAATTGTTGAATGTAAAAATGATGACCTGTTCTCTAAGCCTTCACCTAATTTACACAAAAAGTTTAAAAATAAAATAAAAGGAATATAAAGAGTGGTAGTATGTAGTCTGCTTCAATTTCAGCAAATATATTTTGGATGATTATGAAATCTTTCTAAACTTAATCTCAAAATGACAAAAAATATTTTGGCCAATGCTAACAGTTTGATATTATGTAAGCAAAAAAGGAAACTCTATAGGCTAAGAAATATTATTTAAGACATAAATCTTAAATAACAAAATAGAATTTGGTTACATGCAAGGTTTCCTATCATATGTAGTATTTTCTTTAATAGCTGACTTATCTGATCCTTTTTATATGTTAAATTTTATTATTACAGGTAGAAAAGCCTAGTGTTTAAAGTGTAAGAAGTTGCTGACTAGCATGTAACCCTAGCCACGCTCCTTAATCCTTCTGTACATTAGTTTCTTGAGCTGTAAAATGCAAATAGTACTGTCTATATTATAGTGTTATTTAGAGGACTAAATGAGTTAATGCATATTACAGAAATTAGACTATTAACCTAACAAGTGGTCAATAGTCAAACTGCTAGCTATTTTGATTAAATTTTAACTTAAAATAAACTTTTGCTTTATTTTAGCAAAAATAATCCCTACTGCACTAAAATCTACTATATATGGTAATGATGTAAATATTGTATCCACTAATTACATTCTTCTGCTGCCTTTTTAACAGAGCCTACAGATAGAACTAATTATCTTAGTAATATAAAAATTTGGGGGGAATTATTAAACTCTAATAGTGAAGTACTAACAAAGGTCTCCCAACACATACAATTAAGATCATTGGTGAATTAGTAAAATAAATGACACTTCTTATCCCTTACATTGCATGTATCTAAACAAGCAAAAATATCTGAATTTGGTCTACTCCTGGTAAAGGATCCAAAAATAGTAATCCAACTAAAATAAAAAAGCTAAGTATAGAAATCATGTAGTGAAAAGTGATTACTTGAACAACGTTTTAGGAATTAAATACTTTTATATGATTGTAATCTTCTTACCCGAAGCTTTAATGGAGCAACATTCTTCTGAGTCCCACTCCAAAGTTCCTGTACTAAATCCCCATAGCATTTAGCCATATGCCCCTTCATGCCAATGGGATTTGTCCTAGAAGTTTGAAAGGAAAATTTATTGTTAAAGATTACCATAAACCACAATCATGCAAGCAGAGAAAGAACTACCATCTGTTTTATCACATCAAAATAAAATTGGCCCTCATTTCATAGCAAATAAGGCTGGGAAATAAAATTAGAAAAGATTTCTCTCCCCCAGGGTGAAGAAAGAGGAGTTAGGTGACACTCCACTCATTCCAAAGTCAAAGAAGAGTAAGAGGTCAATGGTTAAAGCAGTTACCTGTTGAGTTCATACAGATGTCTCCCTGAGATAAAATACTTTGTCAGTGGCTGCGTGTTGCTAACACACTGGATGCTTGAGTTCATGAAGCATGTGTTTCCCAGGTTACTCAGACCTGTGGCTCCCTTTTCTGTGGGAACTAGAATAAACAACATGAGGAATGAAGCCTAGCTACAGTAATAATACCTTAAAACCGTTATTTAAAAACAAACAAAAAACAAAAACAAAACCAAGTTACTTGTAGTCAACACAGTGATTTTTAGAATGATTTCAATTCTTTAAGTGGGGCTAATCTTTCTCTTTCTGGTCTTGAAGGCTTCCATGGGAGTGTCTTTTGATACTGACATGACAATGCAGGGGCATTTATAATCTCAAAGCTGCAGTTAATCACTGTAATTGCGAAAATATTCAGGATTCAAATAATTATTCTGTTATTATTATATTTAAAAATATGTTACTTAATTAAAAAGTTAAAAGAAACTGATTTTCTAAGTCACCGATTTAAATCTTTAGATTTATCAACATCAAGTTCTGCTTAAAAGGGGGGGGGGCATGGCTAATTATTTTTGAACAACAAAAAAAGGCGTGAACATTTGAATAATTGATAGAAACACAAAATAAAATGAAAAACAATACATCACTTTAAATCATACACTGGAGACTTACCCTTGTGTCTATCAATTTTACTACTGTTTGCTATAAATGACATCTCCTCAGGCCAACTCATATCTTTGTTGCGAACTAGAAGGACAAAGAGAGGAATGTATTAATTCCTATCCACCCAATTAACACCTACTCAAGTGCTTCTGTTAAAAGAGAGGGAGAATAAAAAAGTTTTTATTTCTAAGTCAGAAACTTTAAGTTTATATTAGGAAATGAGGTCTGATACTGTTCTGAGACTCGAATCATTTGATTAGAACTACCAAGCTAGTCTATCAATTACCTACTTAAAGTAAAATATACTGAATGCTTACTAGAAATAAAGAATCATCATAATAACATTTCTTAAATTTTTTCCCTTAAATTGGTTTTTTTATTTTCATTTTAATAAATCATCTTATTGGCAACTCCGAATTTCAAACATTACAAGTACAATAATTCTTTTTAAAATTGTATCCACTGTCAGAAATACCGATTTACCTGAATACAAAGGTACTTAGTAATGTTTACATGAATCTTGATAGGAAAAGACTCACTAATTTTGTAGTAAGTTGGTCTCCTTAAACTCAGAAGCAGTTTGAAAAGAAATGTGTAAGTGAATACATGATTTTGCCCACTCTTCTGCTCCCTGGAAGCTAATGAATGTAGACATGTTATTAAGACATGTTATTATTCATGATAGAATAAAAAATTAAGTTGTTAATGTATATATATATATATATATATTAAAAAATAACATAAAACTTTAAAAAACAGTCTAAATAGGACACAGGAGTAATCAATGGGTTTTCTTTAACATGAGCAACATGACCAAATAATTGCCCTGATTACTGATGATGGCAAAAATCAATAATCAACACTGATATCTAGTTGCCCACAGCTGGGCTACACTCAAGAGCAAAATAAAACAAAACAATGTATAAGAGTGTAGAAGATAATGGTTAATCAGTAAAAGTTTAATGTAAGCACATTTCCAACTTGTACCTTCAATTACCAAATGCTGCTCATCCTGGATTTTCAAATATTCCAACCGATGATCCTCGTCATCCAAAAGGGTCAGGTAATTCTGTAAGGAGGGAGAAATGTCTGTAAATGTGATCAGCACACTTAAAACAAAAATCAACTGATTAAAAACTTTTTTTGCAGAAATAAAACTTATGTCTCAGAAAACTGGCACCTTACAGATGTTCAAAATACTCACAATTTAGGTGACAAAATGAGGTAGGTAAAGACAATTCTATACACCTCAAACAGATATACTCTTTGACCCCCACAAAAGCTATTAATCACACATCAAATCAAAATTGATATATAAATTTTATGAAGAACTTGTAGGAAAAAATCTTCTCTAGAATTAAGTATGAAATTCAGTAAATGTGCTGAATAAAACTTCATCACATTACATATTACTATGAATTGAGAATGCCATGTAGACATATAGCCTTTAGTTATATTTATCTTGTCTACAGTGCTTACAAAATTAACCCACTTCATTCTCACAAATATGTTAAAGTAGAAACTATTATTTCCCTCATTTTATCCAAGAAGAAACCAAGGCATAAGAAGTTAAATGACTTGCCCTGGTTTAAAGAGCTCCTAAGTATCAGGGTCAAGATTGGAATCCTGGCAGTGTGCCTCTAGGAGCTCTGGTCTTAACTATGATACCACACTGACACTCAGTGGTGGGTAAAGGAAAAAGATAATATAAGAAAGAAGAGAGAACCAAAGATAGAACTGATTAAAATTACTCCTGCGATCAATCTAACCCAAGAGTATAACTCTTATCAGCAGACTAGATCAGTGATAGTACATATTAGGAATTTAACAGCACTGCCTCTGAAGACAATGGAAGAATTTGTCATTGTATTTTGTTAAAAAAATTCTTTTTAAAACGTGGGCCCAAGTTATCTGAAAACAAATCTAAATTAAAATCTATTTAGAAAGAAAAATATTTATTTTACTTTAGAATAAAAATCTTTATAAAGCTGTACCGTCCTTGACGACCAATTGTTATTACGGGTCTTAGATGATATGCATACATTCATACAGTAATCCAGAAGTTAAGAGGTTTTATTGAAATAATAGGCAAAATTATGGTTTTTACCATTATTAAAGTAGATAAAACCCCATTATTCATGAAACATGGATTCAACACCTGATCAGTACAAGGCATGACTGAGATGCCTCTCACTTACCTCACTGTTGTATAACCACAGGCGCATATCTTCTTCTTTGATGCGCAGCCTCTGAGATAGATATTCGTGAATTTCCTTGATGGTCTGCATTCGACTAAAACAGCCTGTATAGGCTAACACCCGCTTTAAGGGTGCATTCGGAGAAGGTACATTTCCTATGGTTACAGTATTCACAGTAAGCAAAAAGGCAGATATAAAAAATAATGCATCTCTTCCAGCAACGAGGATCATATTATTTTAGGAAGTAGTGATGAGAAGTGAGAATAATAGGCTTAGTAAATTTATAAATTAGGAATATCATAGTGTTTTAAAATGAAATCAGGAGACACAACTTTCTCTTGAGTAGGTTCAAAGTCTAAACCTTGAAAGGAAAAGCAAAAAATTTTCAAAAGTCCAAATACCTTGCTGTATTTGAGTCTACGATAAATGGATATTGTTGCTACAGTTAGGTTCCACTCAAGAGCAAAATGCAATAAAACTCAGTGTTAGAGGAGATAAAATAGGAGTAGATTTGAATTCCAGTTCCCTATTATTCTCACTTATTAGATGGCCCTACTCAACAGAATAGCATAATTAAACAAACAAACAAACAAAAACTTTAATTATAAGGAGGCCAAACAGAGCATTAAGGTGAAGCCAAATATCTTCCTATGACCAAAAAAAAATTGCACTATTAAAAAAAAGATTGTAAGAGGAAAAGAAACTTATGGCCTGCCTGTCTAATAAGATGACAGCAGACATGACTGTATGTCTTAGATTCCTGAAGAGTTAGTGATAGACTAAATGATGTCCCCCAGAATATGTGCTGTAAATTCTAACCTTTGTGCCTGGTCATAATTCCATTTGGGAATGGTTTGTCGTTATTATGTTAATGGGACACAGTACCTCATCCATTTGATGACCACATCAGCAAGTTTTCAGCTATTAAAGGTTGACAAATGTGTTGGCATCATGTTGTTTTAAGAATGTCCAAAAAGAATTCACTCATCTAACGTAGGCTGAAAAATTGCCTGAGGAACAAAGACTTCTATAGCTTGTCTGTAAACAAAGCTAAATGTAAGTCATTAAAACTGTGGCAAAGTTTGTATATTTGCCACTTTAAAATGAATTAGTCTTACAGTGAACAGTGGTAATAAATGGAGTAATAAGAATGATACTATTATTATGGCAGAACAAATCCAAACCACAATCAATTTTTAAACATTGCAAAGCAAATTTTTTACTATCAGCAAGCAAAAAAACCCAAAAACAAACAAAAACCTAAGAGAAAACAAAAGAGCAAATTTCCCCAATTATAAGTCAGAGGATTAGTTATAAGATTACAGCAAGAAAGCATATTTTTATAAACTTCAAAATGATTAATGATTGATTTCACAACGAATTAGTAAGGAGTAAAATTTCAAATTCAGAACAAGTTTGGCACACCAGAACCACCCAGTTTTAGGATTCAGAAGCATCTGCAAATGTTAACATCCATGCCAATCACTATTGTCCTAAGTCATATAAGAAAATACATTTCAACTGTAGATTGTTTTTATAGCATAGCTCATTAAGCAGGCAGCCACTTATACATAATTTTGTGTTTACAAACAGCACCAACAAATCTAGAATTTAGAGGCAGCAAAAATCTAGGATCAGCACAAGTTATTAAAAGTACTTAACTAAAAGTGCAACAACCTATCTTGCTGTGCATGTTATCTTTCAAAAGAATTGAAACTGTGCTGTGGATGCCATGAAGCAAGGCTCATGTTTTTATTTAACAGAACATTAATTCAAGAATGTTTGATACTCTTTTTAACTGATAGAATTTTATTTGTTTCTTTGTTTGGACATTTACCCCAAAGACATTGTTTGGTTAGATAGAAGGTACTACTTTGCTAAAATTCTTACTGAACAACACCTAAAAGAATTTGTAGTATTTGATTATATTCTTTAAAGAAGATACAAAATTAACTATACTAAATTTCAAAGGAGATATTGTACTTACAAGGGCTGGCAAACTAAGTTGTATTGCTGATGATAAAACACTGGCATTGGATAGTAGATGAAGTAATTTATGAGAGGAAATCAAAAAGTTCATGGAAAACTTGAACGGTAATGTGATGTTTTTGTGAACTTTCTGAAGCACCCTGACCAAATATTTACTTGGGAACAAAAATTTAAAAATCTTAAGGCAAAAGCACAGAGCAAATCCCACAAGTAGCATTTACATCACAAATAAATTAAAGAGGAACTTTTTTGTATGCTACACAGTGGAAATGGGATCATAATATGCTGCTTGATAGACATGGTGTTTTTCAAAGGAGATGTGTCAATTTTTGGAGAATATATTTTTGATATGTATTATCTGTCACTTATAAAGCCTCTTTTGACCTAGCATTAGAAAAATGTTGGAAAAAAACAACATACGGTCTCCTTCCTCTCCAAACTTGACATTTATCTTTTGTCCTGAAATATACCTCTTCACCACCACTACCTGAATAGACATTAACATATTGATCAAGATAATTTATTTTATAACAAAACCTTTGCTATCATTAGATATTTACCAATCTAAAGGTTTATTGGAGACCAGAGGCACAATGACCTATTTGAACTGTGTTACATTCATCCAGTTCATCCTTTGCCAAAAGAACCCCTCCTTATAAACCTAAGTGGAGTAGAAAAGATCAGCCAACAACTAGCCAACTGCATCCAAGGTCTAACAAACAATTTACAATGGCTTGTCTTAAAGAGAGGAGCTCTGGTGGCAGAGTGGGTCACGTGCTGGGCTGCTAACCACGAGGTCAGCAATTAGAAACCGGCAGCTGCCCTGAGGAAGAAAGATGAGGATTTCTACTCCTGTAGAGATTAAGTCTTGGAAACCTACCCATGCAGCTCTACTCTGTCCTATAGGGCTGCATGAGTCAGAAATAATTCAATGGGAGTGAGGTTAGGTTTTTGGTTTGTCTGTCTTAAAGAAAAAAAGTATGTAAAATCTGTTTCTACTGATTATCTCTGCACATTTACAGACCAGAAAAAGAAATAACCCTCAAGAACTTGCTCTTGCCTCTCTCATAGACAGTGTTGTACGTGACCATAGATCTAAGCCCAACCAGTGATTCCCCGATTCTGCTTAAAAGCAGATGGTAATAGGTTTTTAGTACAAAGTAAAGTGGCACCGGACTTTGAACAACTTGATTTTCATGTTTTCTGTTTTTTTAAAAGCAGAAGCATGGTATTCTTGCTGCATTCTTAAGTTACCTCTAGGTAAATGCTGAGGAAACATTCTCAGGCTCATCATACCCATATTCACCCAGATGTTAGACTGCTGTGTCCGAGTGGCAGGCTGCTGTCTCAGGAAAAGGAGATAACGAGGAAATAATTCTAGTTCTGGGATGTCTGTCTTGCTATTCTTGATCACCTGGTGTTTTAAAAGACAAAAAGTAATTACCCTAAAAGGGAGAACAAAAAAAGATCTATTTTCTTTTTAAACTTCTGAAATTTATTTTTAAGCTACCTATGAGTATATTTCAGTAGATTATTTATATTCATAGATCTACGTTACATAGGTTTGAATACCTGCAGTTTCCTCATGATAGATTTATCTTTCAAGGTTACAACTAATAGCCATTTTCTACCCTTTCATTTGGAAGTAACATCAACATTAACAAAAAATTTACATATTACCTATAATTCTACTGATTTCAAATAATTCTTTCCACTTTTATATATTTCTTTCTTTAAAAAAATCATTTTATTGGGGGCTCGTACAACTCTTATCACAATCCATAAATACATCCACTGTGTCAGCGCATTTGTACATTTGTTGCCATCATCATTCTCAAAACATTTGTTTTCTAATTGAGCCCTTGGTATCAGCTCATTTTGTCCCTTCCCCCACTCTCTCATGAACCCTTGATAATTTATACATTATTATTCTTTTGTCATGTCTTATACTGTCCGATGTCTCCCTTCACCCACTTTTCTGTTGTCCGTCCCCCAGGGAGAGGGTTATATGTAGATCCTTGTGATCGGTTACCCCTTTCTACACTACCTTCCCCTTCCCCTCCTGGTATGGCTACTCTCATTATTGGTCCTGAGGGGTTTATCTCTTGGAATCCCTGTGTTTCCAGTTCTTATCTGTTCCAGTGTACATGCTCTGGTCTAAGTGGATTTGTAAGGTAGAACTGGGATCATGATAGTGGGTGAGGGGGCAGCATTAAAGAACTAGAGCAAAGTTGTATGTTTCATCATTGCTATGCTGCACCCTGACTGCCTCATTTCCTCCCCACGAACGACCCTTCTGTAAGGGGATGTCCAGTTGCCCAGAGATGGGCTTTGGGTCCCCAATTTGTACTCCCCCTCATTCACAGTGACATGATTTTTGTTCTTTGATGCCTGATACATGATCCCTTCGACATCTTGTGATCACATAGGCTTCTGGGTTTCTTCTATACGGGCTTTGTTGCTTCTAAGGTAGATAGCTGCTTGTTTACTTTCAAGTGTTCAAGACCCCAGATGCTATATTGGCTTTTATACATTTCATGTATATACATGACTGTCTTTTTTTAAGGATAAATTCCTAGATCTAGAATTTCAAGTCAAGAAGTATCATGTTTTTACACAAAAGGCCCATATTAAGTAGTTTTTAAAAATTTTTATTAAGTAGTTTTCATGAACTGCATAAACTCCTTCACCTGTTAGTTTCCAGTGAGGGCAGTGTGCATTATCTGTGAGTGTATGCTCATTCTGTGGGCAGGTTACATGTGAAAATATGGCATTTGTGACTGTTTTCCATTTTAATTGTAACCACTTATAATATTCCCAGTTAATGTATGAGTGTATTACTTTCATAAAAATTATAAATTAACAGCATTTTAAAAATAACCTTCTTTTAAATACACAGAGGCATATAAGTTTGCTTAAGTCTTATTATTTATGTATAGCCGACCAGTCTGTTTACACACACACAATTAGATGTGCAAATTTAGGGTGAACAGAATTTTTCCCTGTAAATAACCTGCTGACCAGTCCAAAAAGATATTGCTTTATGAGTTTTAAAAGTAGCATATTCTTGGGGGTGGGGGTAGAAAAAAAAAAAAGAGATGGTACCGAGGGCTCAAAAGAAAAGTATATGTCTAGAAGAGAACGAGGGCAACCTATGTACAAACATGCCTGATTCAACTGATGTATGGATTGTGATGAGTTGTATGAGCCCCCAATAAAATGATTTTTTTTAAATAGCATATTCCAATTTAGAATTTTAAATGGATTTCAGGGGTCACACTCTTTAAAGGAGAGCAAACCATTTCTTTTGCTGAGGTAAACAATACCCCCCCCCTTTTTATGTGTAAGAAAGAGCTTTATATCAAGGTGTTTTTTTTAATCATTGTATTAGGGGCTCATACAACTCAAATCACAATCCATACATACACCAATTATGTAAAGCACATTCGTACATTCATTGCCCTCATCATTCTCAAAACATTTGCTCTCCACCTATGCCCCTGGCATCAGTTCATTTTTCCCCCTCTCATGAACCCTTGATAATTTATAAATTATTATTTTTTCATATCTTGTACTGTCTGACGTCTCCCTTCACCCACTTTTCTGTTGTCCGTCCCCCAGGGAGGGGATTATATGTAGATCCTTGTAATCAGTTCCCCCTTTCCAACCCACCCTCCCGGTATTGCCACTCATACCACTGGTCGTGAAGGGATCATCCGCCCTGGATTCTGTGTTTCTATTTCCTATCTGTACCAGTGTACATTCTCTGGTCTAGCCAGATTTGTAAGGTAGAATTGGGATCTTAATAGTGGAAGGGGGGTGGTGGAGGAAACATTTAGGAACTAGAGGAAAGTTTTATGTTTCATCATTGCTCATTTCCTCCCTGAGACCATTCCATAAGGGGGTTTCCAATTGCCTACAGATGGGCTTTGGGTCTCCACCCCACACTCCCCCTTATTCACAATGATATGATTTTTGTTCTTTGATGCCTGATACCTGATCCCTTTGACACCTCGTGATTGCACAGGCTGGTGTGCTTTTTCCATGTGGGCTATGTTGCTTCTGAGCTAGATGGGCACTTGTTTACCTTTAAGCCTTTAAGATCCCAGACTATATCTTTTGATACCTGGGCACCATCAGCTTTCTTCACCACATTTGCTTATGCACCCATTTGTCTTCAGCAATTGTATCAGGGAGAACAATATTTTTTCTAAGAGAACTTTTTTTTTATTATCAGGTGTGGTAAAGCAACAAATTTAAATAATGCTACAAAACTTCAAAAGCTATCTTCAACCTCCAATTTGCTATTGTGGCACTCATAAAGTTTCTATTTGGGAGCTTTCTCAATCCTGTGTAAATGCTCAGCATTACAAGAAGTTCGACCTGATACTCTCTTCTAGGACCCCTGGCAGGACCACCACAGGCCCACAGTTCCCAGAGAGGCACTGCCAGCTGCCAGCACTAGGTCCTTATGATTCTATTCTAAGTGTGATTTGGGGAAGATGAATAATTATTATTCAGCATTTGTAGTTGTTGGACTAATTATAACATACTTCTGGCAGCATCCACTGATAATCATATAGATTTTTAATATACTATACCTTGCTTTCCAAGGTAATCTGTGATCATAAGTATAAATTACAATTAGGGATTGGCATTAAGTATAATTTCTTAAAATTGTAATTTACCGTATGTACTCATGTATAAGTTGAGTTTTTCAGCACATTTTAAATCCAGTTTTTGTGGTAAAATTAGGTGCCTTGGCTGATATTCAGTTAAGCCTATACTCGAGTATATACGGTTATGTGTATGTATAGGAGCCTTCTGGAGCTAATATAACAACAACAAAATTCCTGATACTTTTTCTTAAGACACAATTGTAAAGTAAGCACAGTTTTTAATAACTCAAAATCAATATCAAACTTACACACTGAGGCTTTTATCAGACTTTTTATTTATTTATTTTTAACTTATTTATCTCACCGAAGTTAATACCTTCGTAGTATATAAACATTATGGCTAGGATAATGCTTTAGGTAAAGGAGAGTATTTCTTAATATACCAAAATAATTGTATTGAAAGGGTAAAAAGTGAGGCTAAAGAGTACTAAGTGTTGCTGTCCACTATTGAAGCAAAGCAAATGACGCTATTCAGTTCATTTACTAATATTTTAATATTAGACACTCCAAGGCCAAGTCATTTTAAGAGCATCTTAATCTAAATGAGTTACGAATCCAAGTCACGGCAATGGTCAGAATGCACTAAACTTGAATCCCTGTTGTCATATAGTATGATCTTCCACATAACCTCCTTAAAATACATTACAGACAGCCAAAGCAGTCTCTGCAACTCTCTCACATTCACTGACCTTTCTGGCATTGACTTTAGAGCTTTCGCATCAGTCTGTATTATCCTAGTAGATGTTGGTATTTATGTGGACAACTCATTTAACAGCCCAGCGTTGTAATTCTTTGACTTTCTTTGGTCCAGCGACTTTTCATTGCACATTGTGTTAGCTAACCACTCCTAAACATATATCACTCCATAGTTGGTCCTTAATGTAATTCTCAATATGTGTCTAAGGAAGGAATGAACAAATGCTGTTGGGCAGTTGAGTCAAAACTGACTCAACAAGAGTAGACAGAACATTAGGTTTCCAGGCTATAAATCTTTACAGAGCCAGAATGCCATATACAGAGTGGCTAGTAGGATGAACTTCCTGGCTTCTGATATGCAAGCAAGTGCTTTAACCACTATGACATGGGGGCTCCTGAACAAATGTGAAACTCAAAACCAAACTCACTGGCCATCGAATTGATTCCAATACATAGCAACACTGTAGGACAGAGTGGACTTGCCCTTTGGAAACATGGGAAGGAACATAACATAATTTGAGCAGGGGCTGAATATTCCACTAACAAAGTAAGCTGTGACTTGTAGACAGTAAAATTCATATAGAACAGTAATGGAAGATCCAATTACTGATGGCTTTGTCTATAACTGGAGAATATGAAGCATTATTGGATATACTTACAGGTCTAGGTAGGGCCAGGTTTGCACCATACCAATGATAAAGAGCTCTCCACACGGGTTCTGGAACCATTTCATAATCTCTACCATGGATTAGCTGTGGAGTTCTCTTTAATCGTCCTCCTTCTAGTGTTAATGATGTAGCCTTAGAAAGAGTGGAATGGAAACATTAATTTTTAGTATTAGAGAGTTTCCTGTGTTTTAACAAAATCTATAAACATAAGAGAGCAAATGCATATGTCACTGGCTACTTTCACACTACTGAGGAAAAAAAGGGAATTTTCTTAGAGATTTTTACTTTTGACAATCAAAGTAAATTATGTAATTCAAGACAAACCATTTGAAGAAAAAAAAAACAATGGATTATTTAAAAATCAATCCTCTCATTTATTGAGATGGCCAGTTCCACAGGTGAGATCAGTATGCAAAAATCAGCACTATGTGAGAAATGGAGGATGACTACATCACTATACAACTGCCAAATCAAATCATTATATAAGAACACCGAGAATCATGGTCCATCCAAATTCACACAGAACTTTAAGCATCACAGCTAGTGTCACTCTCACCTCATACCTTGGCATTCATTACTGCCAAATACTGTTGATAATGTGAAAAATAATCAGACCAATTTTTACTATTGTCAAAAATGTGAAAGGTTATATAACGAAATGGTTGATAAGTAAGGAAAGGGTGGAATAAGATTGGTTTGTACTCATTTCTTCCAAATAACAAAAAGATTACTCTGGAACACTTGAAACCACATTTTTATATAGGTGTTCTAATAAAAGCGACAGTATTTCCAAGGGTCACCATCCCATTTTTATACATGTACTCAATCATAAAGTATTCTCATAGAGAAGTACTATGCAGAGATTATTGATAGATTAAGTTCAAGTTAGATGTCAAATTGCTTACCTTTACTGGTTCTTGAGTTACTAATGGCTGGTTATCAATAGCCCCTGGTTTTTGAGGATTAAGGTGCAATAAAATATTCCCATTGGATCCCAGCAAACACTGGTTGTTATTGTCAGAAGTGTTATGCTGTCGAGCAAAGCACAGATCAGCCCCTGGTGTAGCAGAATACAGAAAACCTATAAAGAATAACAGGATGGGACCTCTTATTTTTAGTTATAATACATAAAAAGCCTGGAAGAGATAAACTCAGTTTCTATGTATCGGGTTAATTCTATTATTCTGGTGACATGTTACTACAATCTGACATATGTGTAGACGGTAGGAAATATAAAGTATTTCTTCCTTATTAACACTTACCATAGCATTAGAAAGAATAATTTTTTTATCTTGCTAACAAATCAGCATTTGGCCATCCTGCTAGAACATTTAATAATTCCCCATATGAGCAATGCTGTTCTCTGATAGAATGGGAAGAGGTGTGGCTATGTAGCTGGGCTCTAATTGGTTTTCCTCAATTCTCTTGTCCATCTGTAACACATTTAAATGCTCTTGATACGAGGTCTCTAATCAAAGATAAGAAGCTTAATGAAGAACTCCAACAGAAGAGAGCTGGGAAGAAGAAACTGTCTCCTCATATGTCTACTTGAAAGGCATGCACACTCATCACAATAGAGAGAGCCACACAGAAACATGACTCCTGATGGCGTAGAGTGCTGGACCTTGATGGTAGCTTAAACCACTGACTGTCAACTACATATTTAGCTTGTTAATCACTTTATAACTTTCACCTGTAGCCTACTAAGCTTGTGGCTAACACTTGATGAGCATATAGCAAAATGATCACAGAGAAGGTTAAGAAATAATTCTGGTGTTAAAATTGAGCAAAGCATTTCTATGTTAGGTAGGGAAGCAGTAGGTTCTACCAAGAGAAGTTTTATAGAGGAAATGTTAGTTCAGTCTGATTTGCCTACTTTATCTACAGAAGAGAGGCTCTTAAAGAGGAAGTAATAACAGCGTAAGATTGATGGTCCTGCTACTGTAACCAGGAGCTATTATGAATTCGTTTTCATTATTTTAATGAAATAATCCCAATGGTGGCTAAAATGTCCCAAGCACCTATGTGAAGGTACATTTAATCCAATAAAGCATGCTTACGCTTAATAGTCTTTTTCTTTTCATTTTTTTACTTAACAGTCCTGAAGGTGAGAAATTCATTATCAAAAATTGTCTCCCACTCCCTTGGAGAACGAACAATAGAAAAGTGGGTGGAAAAAAAAAAAGAAAAGTGGGTGAAGGGAGACCGTGGTCAGTGTAAAACAAGAAAAAAAAGTTTATAAATTATCAAGGGTTCATGAGGAAGGAAAAAAAGTGATCTGATACCAAGGGCTCAAGTAGAAAGAAAATATTTTGAAAATAATGATGGCAACATATATATAAATATGCTTGACACAATGCATGTATGTATGGATTGTGATAAGAGCTTTGTGAGTCCCCAACAAAATGATTTAAAAAGAAAAAAGAAAGCCATTTACATTAAAAATAAAATAAAAATCCATTCTGCCATCTAAAATTTGGTAGAGGAAATGGGGAAAAAATTGTCTGACCCAAAATAAACTGACAAAATAATTTAATGGCAACACAGAGAAATATGGCTTGATCAATGATAAAAGTAAAAACATTTTAAAAAAAGTAAAAACATTCCATATTGGAAGATTAATGAGAGAATATGGGCAAAAATTTCTATGTGTAAAGCTACTAGTACATTCATGTAATTTTGTAACATATAGTCAGTATATAGGAGAGACTGTTTTCTGTGAATTTCCATTCTGTGAATGGAAATAAGTTCTGCTACTTGAGATTGCAGCCACCATCCCCTCTGCCAAGTCAGACTGCGGTAAGACTTGACACTGACTAAACCTCATGGGAAACAAGTCAAACTTACTGCTGCCAGCACTTTCTGAGGCTTCAGATGCAGTCGAAATGTTGTCTGAAAATTTCTCTTCTGTGGTGTTCACATAAGTCAGGCTACCACCTCCCAGTCTATCTTCATTCTGCTCTAACGTATGTACTGCTGCTCCAAATGAATATTTTCCTCCATTCAGAACAGACGATGGTTCAATTACAACAGGGCTGCTATCCTAAAAATCATGAACAAATAGCCAGGGTACAAAATTACAATACAGTTTTAAGTGTATTATAAAAGATTACATGGTCATTATTGAATATAGAGCAAAATATGAAGAAAATAAATATCACATGTATTCAGATTCTATTATTTAATAACTATAGATGAGCATGAATTACAATTTCTTTTATTTTATGTGACTGGAAAGTACATACAAATGTACATGATACAGCGGAGTATATACTTAAGAACTGTGGGCAAGGCTAGTATCTGAACCCAACATCACTTACCCATCATGTAACCTTGTACAAGAACTGAACTTCTAAGCCTGTTTCTTCATGGGTAAAAATAATAGTAGAAACTGTGTGTGAGGTGGGAGTGGGTAAGTTCCCTGTACTTTCTGTACAATATTTTATAAATATAAAATACTCGAAGGCACTTCTATGGCATATTGGACTACATATTGCGCTTCTAACTACAGGGTTAGAGGTTTGAACTCACCAGTGGCTCCATAGGACAAAGGTAAGGCTGTCTACTCCTGTAAGGATTTAAAGTTTTGGACACCCAAATGGGCAGTTCTACTCTGTCCTACAGGTTTGGTAGCAAGTGAGAAAATACTGGAGAAAAAATCATCTATTCAAAATAAATGAAAAAAAAAAAAATAGACATTATCAAGTATTAGAATAACACATCGAATGTTAGATCAGTGTACTAGCAACTGTCATTGAAATAATAACAGGATTAAAAGAAACTGAATGGGGAATATCTTTTTCACTGTGAATTATGGTCATGTAATACCAAAACACGGTAATCAGGCACTTTCCCTACACTCTAAGAAAATAATTAACTAAAGAGGCTACGGTTTATAATAAAGAGTGTGATTTCTGAAGTCTTTGACATTTTAATACTATGCCTGAATTGCTATTTAAAAATTTAGACCTACTTAAGTTAACTGGTATGTGGAAAGATACCTAGATTTTAATTCTTGATGTTCTTTCAAGGAAAGACATTGGGGAAAAAAAGAAAGACATTGGAACTTGTTCAAAGATAATTTTTAAAGGACCCAGAGACTGACAGTAACCACTTGGTGGCATTGTGGGTTAGGCATTAGGCTGTTGCTAACTGCAAGATCAGAGGGTGAAATCCACCACCAGCTGCTCAGGAGGAAGATGAGGCCACCTGCCCCTATGAAGATTTAGTCCTGGAAATCCTATGTGCATGGGGATTGACCCCGCTGGCAGTGGTTTGTTTTTGTTTTTCATTTTAACTAGGTTTATAGATCAAAGAGAAGAAAACATCTAATAAAATGTTGATAGAGGACAGACAGCAATTGGCAAGACCATGATATCCATCTAGGATATTTGGCTCCAAAGTCCTGACTCACTACTGCTACTCCAAAATGGTTCCTTAAACTAATAACTATCTATTTGATAAGCTCTTACAATATGAAGATGGATCAACTCATCTAACCTGTATAATATCCTTGGAGGGAGGGCGTTCACTGTCATTGCTCTCATTTTATAGGTCAAGAAAACAAGGCCTAAATTAAGAAACAATTTGCTTGTACTCAAAAGGAAGCTACTTGTTATTTAGGAAAGAACCTTTTTAAAATTAACATGTATTTTCAGAAAGAATTGCTACTATCCCATCTTATATAAAAGATATTAAGACTGGCTTCCTTTTGATTCATATCAACTAGTACTTTCGTCCCAGATTTTTTTACAGCAGTCAGTCAGACTTCATTTTTAAGTGTAAAGTCTCTATGTGGAGGTTTCAAAAAGTTTGTGGGAAAAATGTCATTACTTTTCAATTCCACTTTTTAAGACTTTTTCTGAAGGCCCCTCACCCAGTGTCACAACATGGGGAGAAAAATATGACTCTATAGGGCAGATTCTTCTTTCTTTTTTTTTTTTT